ATGTGCTGATTGTTTTCCCAACTTTTTGGAACCGCCAAGTCCCCGTCACGTTTGCGACAGTCATTTCGTGCATCATCCCAGCTCATGACTGCAGACTTGCAACTGATATAGTAAAAACCATCATCGAATTTCATCCAGCTGTTGGCGCAATGTTGATCTACATGTATAACAATTACATCAGAAAAAATAATGTGAGTTGTCAGGTCTTTAGGCGACTACAGCAATAGGTTTCAAAACGAGATAATTATGGGGGCGTTCGTATTTAGAAAATTTGAAAAAATACAGGTCTTAATTTATTCCAAAACGAAAGGTTGCGTTCACATATTAAGCATGACGTATACGTTTTGGAAAATAAGTATAGATTATTTTGAGGCAACGAGGGGATATGTGATTTATCCGCCGAGGCGCGCAGCGCCGAGGTGAATAAACACATTTCCTGAGGTGCCTCAAAATAACGTACTTATTTTTCACATTGCGAGGTCGCGTTATATTAATGAATCAGAATTATAGAAATAATTCGTAATGCCATATTGCTTTCGTTATTTTGTTTTTTTTCTCATTTTTTGTGCTGCAAAGACATTACATGTGAATATTAGAGGGGATTATTAAACGGAAAATTGATTAGAGGGGAATATTGGATATATTCCCCGATAAGAACAAAGGAAACCGAGCAAGGTGAAAAATAAGCTACCAAGATGTGCAGGATGTGAGTAAAAACCCAATATTTTGATATGGAAAATGACAATTTTTATTTGATATCGAAATTATATTTGAAATGGATATGACCCTTCCCCACGCACACCCACTAAATCCATTCCTGTATTACCAAGAAGATTTCGAATACTCAACTAACTGTTAAAGTTATTTTTCACAGATATTGCTGTTAAATGTGAAAATATGACAATCTATCACCGTTAAAACTGTTCGTCATCCAGTCCCCATCCGGTCCCAATTTTATCTTTACGATTCAATTGTTTCTAATGTAAATACAGTATCTGAGCAAGTACTTATCTCCTAACGGGGGGGGGGGTCAAATGCCGTCAAAACATCACATAAACAAAAACATACATATATTTACTCATTATTATACATTCTGTATAGTATATCGAGAAAAAACTTGAATATCTTCTAAACTCCTCAGAATTAGGCCCAAAACAATGCGAGTGCAATTTTTCTAGTACATTCCTCTCATTCTATAATTGGATAGCTATGGTTGGCATTTTGTTGCAAAATTCAACAATGTATATTTGCATTCAACTTCAACCTAGAATAATTATATTCAACAACAATAATTATATTCATATTCAACAATAAACACATATGAAATATACTTATTCAACTTCAACTATGAACATATTCATATTCAACACGAAAAGTTTACATTCTTATTCAATGTTGAATATATAAATGCGAAATTCTGTTGAATATATAAATGCGAAAAGTGTTAAATATATAAATGCGAAAAGTGTTGAATATATAAATGCCAAAAGTGTTGAATATATAAATACGAAAAGTGTTGAATATAAATACAAAAAGTGTGTCCGGGAACTTAAATTCCCGGATGCAACAAATCCAAAACCAGTCTCCCCAAATGCGTTGCGCAGTTAACCGAAGGCTGTTAAAGACTTTCACATCACTAGCACCATTTACATGGCCTATCAGCGGAATTCGGCAGCCCGGGGCAAATTATAATTTGGGGGCCCCCTATTTTCCCCAAAAATATTGGTGAGCGGGAGGGGAGGGAGGGGGGGGGGTTAACAATTTTTTCCGGAAATTAAAAAAATAGTCAAAAACGTTTTCCGTACAAACAGCAGTTAAATTAGGGTTAATTCCTGTTCAAACATGGTAAAACCCTTTTAATTTTTACCAACATTTCTAAAATTTAGGTCTAAAAATTTTATCTCATACCATTATATATTTAAATAAAAAAACGTTCCAAATTCTTTTTGTAATTTTGCAAATTTTGGGTCTTCCTTAAACTGGAAGCCCCCCTCTTTGAAAGGCCCTGCTCATTTACTTATTTTTTAACCAATATAACTCACTTTTTAGACAATACTGACATCACTAAAATTTTCTTCTGGCCTAATGAAAATTTTCCTGTGTATTTACCAAGCGGAGAAAGAATTACACATCAATAATTTGATCGAACTGAAATTCAACACGGTTTCATACCGGTAGTTTACACCATTGACATTATTATTTACAGGCCGGAAAAATAGCTAAACACGATAGCGTCCATATAAACTTCTGCCGCTTTCCACGAAATTCAGCGATCTTTTAGCATTTAATATAACAGTTTGCTGCAAATTTCGAAATTTCTGAACCCTATGATTTTCTGGACTCGCGATCGCTTTTTGGAGTCTCGCCTTTTTCAACTTTTGGGCCTCGCGTTTTTTTTAGTTTGAGGTTTTGCTGTTGGGGGCCTTGGACTCTTTAGGGCCCCGCGCTGTTTGGATCCCGCGCTAAAACAGGGAACAAAAAGATCGTTTGGTCCCCCGCACTTTGGGGCCTCGATCTTTAAATCTTGGGGGCCTATAACGTTTTCTGGGGACCTTGGGCTGTTTGGGGCCCCGCGCTGAAACACTAAAACAGGGAACAAAAAGAAAACATATGGGGCCGATGTTTTGGGGCCTCGAGTTTTCTGGGGGACTTGGGCTCCTTGAGGCTCCACACTGGCGCACACGCACTGTTTGGACCCCGCGCTGAAACAGGGAACAAAAAATAGAAGAGATCGAGAAGCGCGGGGCCCTGCATGAGCTTACGGCTTCATGCAGCGAGAAATAGCCACTATATTGCTGCTTCCTTGTTGGCTTCGTTAATAAAAAATGTGCGGTTAAATAAACAATTTTTTGAGATTGGAGATTTGACCAGCCTAAATTGGTCGGTCACATGTCCGTTCCTAAAAAGTTTTGATCGGAGAAAATATAAAATTTGGCCGGAAAATTTCCGATGACCGGCACTAATTTGCAGGCCTGCTTACTGAATCAACTGAATCGGTTGACAGTCATAGCTAGTTACGGGCCTGATATGCTCTATATATATACACCCATTTTCAATCTATATGTTATTGATGTTATTAAATGTTTTACAGCATGTACATACTATGCAGCTTGTACATGTATCACAAGTACTGTAAAGTTACTATCTCGAAATGAGCCATACTAGCTATTAAACTGCCCGCGCTCAATAAGTTTCACTTGGCTTTCTCGTCAATGAAGTTGCACGAATTCTTTTTTTCATTCCACAAGTGCTTGCAGGAATTTTTTTCTAGTCGAATTCCTTGCACTCCTAATACGAGTCGGCTCTTCAATTAGTTGACGTAGGTTATAAAGATTGGTAATATTAGTCAATAAAGTTAGTGAATTATGATCTAATGATCTACAGTGGTTGCCCTTAAATTATAGCCCAGGTCACCCATTGCATAATATTCAACGTTTTGTGCATCTAGTTGCCAATTAGTTTCTCAAAATAGCTGAATTTGTCTACACCCGAGTAAGGTGGTCTATACCATGTTGTAATGAGAAAAAGACTTTGAGCTGGGTTTGCGGTCCGGATTTCAATGCACTGAATTCTTAATTTGGTCAATGCATGAACAGGTCGGGTCGCGGTAAAAAATGTATCGTTAACCGAACGTAAAAACAAACTCCCCCACCATGTTTACCATTGACGCCTCTATCACGACGAACTGTTTCATACCCAGCAAGCCTTGTCTCATTTACGGCTAAAACGTCGACCGGGCTGCTGACAAGAAATACTCGAAGTTCGTCGATATGCGTAACTGAAGGGTGTGCGAGTTATAGAGGCGGGCCCGAAAATTGCAACGGGTGGCGCCCAAAGCAGGAATTAGTGAAATTTGGACCTGTTTTATTAGATAAGGATTGGGAAAAAATTTTTGTCTATTTTTTTAATGACGGAGAAAAATGTTAATCCCCTTTCTCCCCCCCCCCCCCCTCCCGCTCACCAATATTTTTGGGGAAAATATGGGCCCCAAAATTAAAATTTGCGCCTGGCCCCGAATTTCTCTGATAGCCCATGTAAATGAGTGCTAGTGATGTTAGTAAAGTCTTTTAAACAGTCTTCGGTTAAATGCGTTGCGCGGTTTGTACGTTTCTTTTTGTTCCCTGTTTTAGTGTTTCGGCGCGGGGCCCCAAAGAGCCCAAGGTCCCCAGAAAACGTTATAGGCCCCCAAGATTTAAATATGACGGTGGTGTGTGATATATATTGTGAATGCTGCGTGGCGCAGTGTGTGGCAAAAAGCTTTTTGCCATGAAATTTGTGATTAAATTTTGTGCATGGTGAATGGTGATTAAAACAGTTACTATTGAAAATTGTTTTGATGGCTTTGTGGCCGAGTTTGCGACAAAGATTTTTTGCCTTTTATTTCTCGTTCTTTGAAAGTGAATAATGGGATATTCTTACGATGTTGGGATGGTTGGTCAGGAATATTTCAGGTGGGTTTTTGGTCTGGGTTTGGGGTGGATCTGTATATATTAAAAGATATATAAATGTAAATATATACAAAAAGGATATACAGAAAGTATATAAAAGATTTACAAAAAATATACAAAAAGGATATACAGAAAGTATATAAGATATATAAAAATTATATAAGATATATAAAAATTTTATAACAAAATTATATACAACTGTATAATAGGTGATGCTGTGGTGTCAATTAAATAAATCGGTCTGTGGTTGTATACTTTTATTTGTTAATTGTGTGTTGATTAAATTAAACTGTGTGAAGTGTTTGGATTATAGTATGTACAGATTTGATTGTTTGATTTGATTGGTGGAAAACATTTTTTCTAATATTATTTACATTGGTTGCCTGATTGGTGGAATGTTCTGATCACTTAAGTGATTGATTGTATGCCGACTATATCCTACACATGTTCGGATTTGGGTTATGGATTTCCCTGTGGATTCGCCAATTCGGTGTCTTTCACGGGAGGCCTTCCCTAGTTCCTAGTGGTAGAATCTACTGGTAATCAATATACAGGAAATTGTCTTGTCCTGTTCATTTCAACTGTATGCTGTAGATGTGATTTGAGTTGATTTCCCAGTCTTGGATAAGTTGGAGGTGGGGATCTCGGTTTATTGTGTAGATATCCATATTGTTGATCTTTGTTTGTTTGATACATCCATTGCTGGTATGATAAAACAGGATCGTTTTCAATATAATGCCAGTGTTGTGTGAGAATGTGTGAGAGTGGTGCGAGATCTGGATTGTATGGAATGACGAATGGTAATGTTTGTGTGTTGTTTTTGGGTGTGGTGTTTATGAGTAATTGTGACTGGGTGTATGATGAGGCTTTGTTGATGTGAGAGAGAATATCTTTATCTTTATATCCTCTTCCAATAAGTGCGACCCGGAGGTTTTGTGCCTTTTCTTGGAATTCTTTGTCACTAGTGATTACCCTCCTGTATCTCAGCATTTGACTATACAGGGTGTATCAAAAAAAGCGCAATCCTCGACAGAAATGTAAATTGCTAAACAAATAATAGACGAAAACGTTAAAGTTTACATTCATTTTAAAGCGTAGCCATTCAGCTTTCTAACAGTGGGTTGTTTCTTAAATTTGACCCATTGGTTCGCGGGTAATAATACTTTACGTTATTGCGATTGGAGATTAAAAAAATTGAGATGGAATTAACAAATCGTTCTCATGAAAATAACTGATTTTTTTCATTAAAACAAAAAAATGTTGCATTTTATTAAATGGATTGTAACAATAAGTATAATTACGGCTTTTCTTCCACTATTTTTAACTCAGTTTGAAACTTCAAATGCGAAATAATTTTGGCTTGGACCATCTAAGCTGACTGACATCAACTTGCTATAATTTCTGTTTACATTACATCGCAATTCGATGACACTCTGGCTCAGACACCAGAATGTTTTGACGATTTTTAGCATTCGTTTAGGATTTTCAAACAACCTGGTCTCTTTTAAAATACTTTTAATTTGTTCTTACGTGGTTTTCCAGATGTAGTGACGACAACATTCACTGGGCGAAAAATCAAATAATCCGACCTCTATACCTCGGAATATTGTTAGGAATATTAGTAATATTCGGGGATATTCTGAGGTATTCGCTCGGAATATTTCCGGAATACTCGTAGTAATCTGCGCAGAATACGTCGGAATAAACTACACCAAATATTCCGAAGCAAAATACTGTCGGAATACTATACATGGCAAGAATTTACACATTTTTTTCAATATTTTTCAGTTAAATTGATTTTCTTTAACTTAATCACACAATGGAAGCTAGCTTGTTGTCCCTGGGGTGAGAGGTTGGAATAAGTAATATTAATGTAAATGTAGGTCATATCTGGTGCGCCTAAATGCTAATATTTTTAATATCTACTTATGATATGAGATTAATGTGTGTACAAGAACTTAATTATGTAGCTACTCATTTGTCAGTAGCTATCTGAAAGCTGGAAGAATTTTGATCATGTTTGCTACTCATTTGCGTCGCATGATATGATGTGCCATGCACTTTTAAACTATCCAATTTCATATTCATGCAGGAAAAGGAAATATACAGGAAAAACTGAATTTCGCTGTCAATTTCGCAAAACTGCTATTAGTATCCAGTTTTGATCTACATAGTTTCTTTGGGTACTTATAATGTAGAATGAAAAAAATTTCTCGACTTAAATTTTGTAAACCAGGGGGGGGGGGGATTTTCCCAACACAGACAGCGTAGCTCAGTTGACAGAGCATTGAGCTAGCATTGCAAAGGTCGTATAACTATTCATTTTTATAACTATATATATATATATACCTATAACTATTCCTTTTTTTCCTAAACAAAACGCTACACGGAGCGTTAAGTCGCTGGATGGAGGACCGTGCAAGTTTAAGTGCAAGAAATAGCACTAATTAAAGAAGAGCAAATTTATTCAGTTTTTTTATATTTAATAAAAAAACCCTGTAATTTAACTTCAAACAATGTGTTATTATTGCGCATTTTTAGTGACAGAAATAAAAAAAAAAACCAAGAAAATCACGCTAAAAATGAGGATTTCGTGTATAGTTAATTAAGATGACATTGCTATTGGTAATTTAATTTAAGATGACAGCAGTTTGATAAAATTTGAATCCATCTGTTTTTATTCAGGGTTCCTCTTCTCGCTTCTCGCATGGAGAGCGCCATTCTCGTACCCAGAGCCCTTCTTACGCGCGGTCAACGCAGCGCGACGAGGGGCTCTGGCCAAATCCATAACCGGATACCATAAAAAAATGTAAGAAAACAATATCCGGTATTAGAACTAGCCAATCAGATGCCAGTTCGGATATCGATTTGGCCAGAGCCCCTCGTCGCACCGTGCGTGAGAAGGACTCTGGGTACGAGAAAGGCTTTGAGAGCGCAGGATGAAAGCCTGGGTTCAAGGATGTAAAATGTCTCGATGTTTGGGAGTCCGGTCAGCCTTAACAAATGTCAAAAAAGCAGGCTGTAGCGATTCACATGCACAGATTCCAGTAGATGCCATTATGGCTTTGGCAGGTTTGGTCAATTTTGGACTTGCGTATGGTAGCTATTGCCACAGAGCTATTGCGTCACATCACGGTCACATGTAACCTCAAAGTTGCCAAAAATAACGGAATAAAATCTCTAGGTCTAAGCTGCTGAAAATATTGACAATTGTAGAAACAAGGAAACTGTAACAGTCCTATACCTCTCTTATTTATTCTCAACTTAATATTAACATACCTTTGTAAATAGACGACTATACCACAGGAGCAAACAATTATACGCCAATAAAATCAGCTTTAAGAGTGAGTATTCGTATTCATTCTTCATCAACGTATATTAAATAGAAAACTTTAAACCATATCACTAGTTCTGTATCAACTGTGATGTGGCAGGAGAGAAAATACTCTCTTCTTTTGAGCTTATGGCAAATACCCACCCAAAAATTCAAAAGTGAGTTTGGGAACAAAGTCCGAAGAGTAATACAAGAAACAAAACTTAGCTACTTACGTTTTTCATTTGATTCAGAAATCTGATAGTCAGATATATAAATGACCGAATTGCGAGAAACGCAAGGTTGCTTTCTTTCTTCTTCCATATTTTGTTACGTCAATGCAAATAAGAAAATGCTAATTGGCGTGGAAAAATATTTGTTTTTTAGGCGTTCGCTAATTGAAATTAGCACAAACACCAGTCAGGGATCGGAGATTCAGATCAATACGTAAATCATGCAACAGTAAATTCTGAAATCATAAAACAATATTCCAAAGTTTGATTGTCCAATTGTGCCTATACACATCTTGTTGGCTCTTGCCTATAAGTGGTCACGAAAACGTTTGGGCGCGACATTAAAGATGTGACCCTGCAGTAAAAGTAAAAGTGAATAGCATTCATTATCATATGGATACATATACAAGAAGCAGTTTGCAGCTTGTACGTCTCAGTAGCTGCCTGGTATGATACCGAATTCATATTTATGTGACTGAGACAAGTGAAACGTGAACGCAGGAAATATAAATATCAAGTATAAATGCATCAAATCAAACATAAAATAATAGAATGCAAACTAACTAGGATATTTTAGATATAAAGCACGTCATTAAATCTAGACTAAATGTCTAATTCCATTAATGTCAGAGACAACTAACTCAATTAAGGTTATCCTCAAAGTCCAATTTGAATAGCAAAAGGCCCAATGGACGTAAATAAATATGTAATACAGGAGGGACAAAGCTTGCAAATGGTGTATTGCTAAGATGTTAAGAACCATGCAATAAATTAAGAAAGGACAACTCAGAGGACAACGTTAATTGAATTTGCTGTATCCGTTTGTGCTATCTAGTATGTTTATTTTGCTATAGAATTAAGCACTTCTTGTGCTGCGTAGGTGATCGTTCTCCGTGCAGTAGATCTCGGTCCTGTTCCAGCACCTCCGCCCCTGCCGCCTCCGCGTGTTCGAATTCCACGTCCACGAGTTCTGTTTGTGTTGACAGGGCCTGCAATTTCAGCTGTTTCGACTGGCTTTACAGCCCAAGCAGGTGCATCATTTGGCGCACGTTTTCTGGAAAGTGCCGAATGCGTTCTTTTCGTGCGTTCCTTCACGTGGTCTTTCCTCCTCTCGTTTGCCCGAATGTCCAACGTACGAAAAAACTGGGTGAGATCATCCGCCCTCCAATTTAACTTCATGTGGCACCAACCTCCATCAGAAGCATCCGCGTCCTCAGACATGTACTCCACTTTAAGGGCCGCTCCAAACTCTTCTTGCTCCTCCTCTGTGGCCACCTTCAACATCATTTCCAATAACTGCAACGTAAATTAAATCCATTTGGCACTAAATTAACCAAGAAGCATACAAACACTGACTTATTTTTCCATTTTTTTAAAGAGATATTATTATTATTATTATTATTATTATTATTATTATTATTATAAAGTTATTTAACAACGGTAACCCTTCAGGCAAGGCTGTTTTATAACTGCCGTTACAATTGAAGTGGTCCTCAAATATTGATTCAATACATTACCTCGGGCTGACCAATTCATTTGATCAAGTTCCTCGAAATATTCATATACTTCCTAGTATAATCGTAAACTTCCTGTTGAATAGTTTGAATGCACCAATCAGCTTTGTTGTTTGTGCAACTAACCAATCATAAATAGAAAGGAAGTGACCAGAAATGATCAAATTCTTGGAATTGGCTCTTTCACAGGAAGTGTATCAATATCTCGAGGAACTTGATGAAATGAATTGGTCAGCCTGAGGTAATGTATTGAATCAATATTTGAGGAACACTTCAATTGGAACGACAGTAATTATTTACAAATTAACTTTTCAAACTACAAACTAATCTAGGTATATACAAATACAATGAAAATAACGTCAAATACATGCTCTCTAGTTAAATTTTAAGAACGAATCCTTATTCTCGTTAAAAAGAGGAATTAGAGCAGATTTCAAACGTCATTCAATTCGTAAAAATATTTATCAAGCAAAATTTGAAAATTGCTCATTGGCCTTAGTTAAGACATCTGGTAAATTATTCCAGGCGACAGCGCCCCGGTACGAGAAACTTTTTTTCATAAAGTTTCAACTGAGTTTGCCCAATGCGAGCTTACATCTATTGCTTCTCATATTGTAAGTACTATTCTCACAGAATTTAAACATATTATTAATGTATTCCGGCGCAGTAAAGAGGATAGCCCTGAATGTCATTAGTGAAAAAGTAGGCGAATTAAATAAATATTGAAATAAATAAGTGTTACAATCTTGATTATACAACACCCAATTAAATTACGGCTATTTGGCAAAGAAAATTTTACCTTCCCCCAAAATACAATATGTTTACCAATGCACTTATCGACATTAATTTTTTTACAACAACAACAACAACAACAACAACAACAACAACAACAACAACAACAACAACAACAACAACAACAACAACAGCAACAACAACAGCAATCAATAGGATATTAATACCCTTTCTCTCCTACTTCGCATACACATCCTGAGTTTCTTTCTTGGTTTAATTGGATTGCGTGCCAACTTCGTCCGCGATTGAAAATGAATTTTAACAGCTTCTGCAATCATACAAAAATAAATTTTCGAAAAAAGACGTTTTGCAATACATAGTCTGGTCATTCGAACCACATCTCACCACACAAGCCAGTATCAATGACCAACATCAGGATACGAGATAGATGGCCCCATCACAATTTTAGTTAACTTAATTAATTGTACAATTATAAAAAGTATATACACTTAGTGAATTTTAAATTTACTTTATTGCAATGGTAAATCTGTGTACATTCAGACGACACATCAGGACATGAGCCAGATTGGTACCATCACAAGTTGGTTATGTTTGAATTGTTCCAAATATTTCAAGACACATATAGACGTCTTTGCTTTAGAAAATGGTTTAGAAATATGCTATGGCGGCTATCCAATGGCCAACATGTGTGCATCCAGACGACACATCAGGACATGAGCCAGATTAGCACCATCACAAGTTGGTTATGTTTGAATTGTTCCATATAATTCAAGACGCATATATATAGACGTCATTGCTTTAGAAAATAATGGTTTAGAAATACGCTATGCAATGGCCAACATGTGTGCATTCAGACGACACATCAGGACACGAGCCAGATTGTTCCATTACAATTTTAGCTAACTTAATTCAGACGACACATCAGGACACGAGCCAGATTAGTACCATCACAAGTTGGTTATGACGTCATCCCTTGGGTATTTAAGAAGCTACGATCGCAGTTTTAGATCACCCCTGATGAAGACACTAGACTGGAGTGTCGAAACGTTGGGTCTTATTACAATTCGACTGGGCTTTGTAATCATTTATTTAAACCAGAGTAGCGAGCGAAACATGTATGTTTGAATTGTTCCACATAATTCAAGACGCATATAGACGTCTTTGCTTCAGAAAATAATGGTTTAGAAATACGTTATGCAATGGCCAATCTGTGTGCATTCAGACGACACACCAGGACACGAGCCAGATTGTTCCATTACAATTTTAGTTAACTTAATCTCGAACTTATAATTGGATAAATATAAAAACATATACATTTAGGGCATTTTAAATTTACTTTATGCAATGGTAAATATGTGTGCATTCAGACGACACATCAGGACACGAGCCAGATTGGTACCATCACAAGTTGGTTATGTTTGAATTGTTCCATATAATTCAAGACGCCTATAGACGTCTTTGCTTTAGAAAAGAATAGTTTAGAAATACGTTA